TGCAAAGTGTAATACGCCTTTATTACAGCAAGCAGACTTTTCCGTGCCAGAATGCTGAGCTATAAAATTTATAATAGCTTTATATTCTTATCGACAACGGAGCTGAATAAATATAAAAACCCTGATGTGGTTTAAAGTTTCACTACAATCTTTGCTGAATATACAGAAAAAATATAGCAGGAACTATGATGTGAATGGAAATATTCCGATGATAATCAATCATAAACTCGTGAGCACATTGTTAGGGATCAGATTCTCTAAAAGTGCGTTAGAAGGTAGGTTTCATTGCTGAAGTTTGGTGGATATCGATTGGCTATTTTCCTCGTCTGAATTTCTACCAATCACAAACGCGCAATTTTGAATTACAAACGGATTCTGTACTAAGCGACATATAAATCCGAACACCCAGTTTAAATGGTTTTATTTTAATAAAAGTTGGTGAATGTATTTATCTTACTGTAAATAACAAGTGAAAAAATGTTCAGCCTTATCAGTTGGACATTCCGGTTTTTATACTGCTTTTTTTTTAATTCACTAACGCTCTAAAAATGAATATTTCAGCCGCAGTAAAGAATCAGCGTTGGCGGATTTTGGTTCTTGACATCCTTTACGATCGGTTACGATGCCTAGAGTACGGAGACCTGTGCGATTTTGTCAACTTAGTGAGTTTGAGAGGGGCCGTATAGTGGGACTTCGGGAAGCTGGACTTTCTTTTCGGGCAATTGCAGTTAGAGTGCAAAGATGTGTAGACACTGTGGTTAGGTGTTGTCAGGCATGGCTTCGAGAAGGCCGTACGCAAAGAGCAAGGGGCACTGGACGCCGCCGTAGAACAACAGACCGTGAAGATCGCCGCCTAAGATTATTGGCCTTAAGGGACCGTTTCTCCACTACCAGGTCCATTGCAAATGAATGGTTTGCAGAACCCGGAAGACCTATTGGCATGCGAAGTGTTTACCGACGAATGAGAAGCTTTGGCTTGTTTTCATTCCGGCCACACTGGGTCCTCCCTTTAACTCGAGAACACCGACGTAATCGCCTTGAGTGGTGCAGACAACGGTCACTCTGGGATCAGGAATGGAACAGTATTGTCTTTAGTGACGAGTCTCGATTTTGTTTAGGCATGCACGATGGTCGTGCCAGGGTTAGAAGGTGACGTGGTGAAAGGAGGAATCCACAGTTTTTTGTTGAAAGACATGTTCATCACACTGTTGGAGTTATGGTTTGGGGTGCTATAGCTTATGGTTCCAGGTCACCTTTAATCTTCATCAGAGGTAACATGAACGCGCAGCGTTATATCCAGGAAGTTCTAGAACCCCATCCTTTACCCTATCTTGACACCCTGGCAAATCCAACTTTCCAACAAGATAATGCCCGACCACATGTTGCAAGAGTCACAATAGACTTCTTTCAACATAATGATGTCACATTGTTACCATGGCCACCAAGATCTCCCGACTTATCCCCAATTGAGCACGTGTGGGATATGATGGGTAGGAGATTGCTCAATTTGCAACGTCCTCCTCAGACTCTAGAAGCACTTCGAGAGGAGTTGGTGGTTGCCTGGAATGAGATACCACAGGAGGACATTGACCACCTGATCAGAAGCATGCCTAGGCGCGTTGGAGAATGCGTAGCACCTCAGGGTGCATCCACACATTATTAAAGGTCAAAGGGCTTTAAAGCAGTGCAATCATTTTGAAATTTTTATCATTTACTTATGCTTCATTAAGTACTTATACAAAATTTGATTAAAATAAAACCATTTAAACTGGGTGTTCGGATTTATATGTCACTTAGTATATCTGGAAAAATTTTATGACAGCACCTGTCAGCAGTTTTATCGAATACCCGCGGAAAAACTTGACAGCTGTTGTCACCTAAAATTACAATACCTTTGATAACAAGTAATTATGGTCTCCTGGGACACCAGAAAACGATGCTAAACAATTTTTCTGATTTTATTTTCAATAAATTTTGTAATATTGTTAGTTACTCATGAAATAGTGTTGTCAAACACAAGCGGGCATCTAATTTTTTTCCTGTGAAGCAACTCGAAAAACAATGCAAAGTACCTAGTATTTTTTGACAAAATACGTTAGTGCAGGTGCAAAAATCCTCATATTCGACTCGGACTCATGCTTCTTGTTAAAATATTACTTAAAAAACGTGTTTTTAGAGTTATTTTGGAAAAAATAGATGCCCTTATGGTATCACTTATGAAAATCACAGCTTCCTCGTAAGAACGAGATTAAGGCCAAGTTGTCTAGATACCTAATAACCATGATACCGCCGATTTTTCAAATAAGCAATTTAAGGTTAGAAAAAATTGACTTACTTTTGTAACAATACTAAATCGTACGATGTTCCGTGTATAACACTATATATATATATATAGGTGAAAAATTAAAGCTTCCGCCTTTTGTTGGGTACTTCGGCAAAATTTAAGCAAAGAGGACTCTATACTTTTTTTAATTCTCTCTAGCTTTCAATGGACTTTGCCATCATCATCAGGAGCTGCAATTACAATGATAACAGTAGCAACAAAAGTGTAAAATTAATTTAAATTGACTCAACTTACAGTAGTATGTGAGGATGTTGCTAATTGTTGTTTACGTATAGGATGAGGGAAACGTCCAGTAACATGGTGAGAGCTGGATACATGGTACAATGGTCAAAATTGTATAAAATATGACAAGACAAGTTAAAAACAGATTAAAAATTATTTAAAAAACATTAGAGCATTACGTCGTGAAGCCACTTGATGATTGCACAAAATGGTGGTCATGGAATAATGAGTGAGATGAACCTTTGACAGAAGGCAGAAGGTTGTCAATGTCTGTGTTGAAAGATGGAACGAATTGTGGGCGTGTGCCAAAACGTTGCCAAATCACTTCAGATGATGTGATTTTCAGAATGTTATGAAAGAAATTGTTAAACCGACCAGAGGCAGTTGAATAAACTATATTTTAATTAATGGGAATGTTAAATTAACAATTATTAATAAATCGTGAGAAGAGAATTATTAGATTTTGAGTGGAATGAAATTTGTTGGTGGAATCGGCCAAAACACAGATTATATTTATGGTTGTGAAAAGTCGAAATTTGGGGAGATATGTAAGTTCTCCAATTTTTCGCAGTTTAGCAAATATGAGTAAATGACACTCAGTTGTTTAACATCTGTCTTTTTGTTGATACAGTTCTTATTCATGAAAATGTGGGACATTTCCAGGAATAAACGTTTGGAAAGGTATTTTTCTTTATCAAGAACTTTGATACTTGTGTAATTCATAGAATGCCCTGTTGTGTTAACATGAGATGCTAGAGTGCATCTTTCAAGATGAAGCCTAGCATCACTTATTTTTATATATATATATATATATTTTTATATATATATATATAAACAGGGTGGCCCATCCATGGGTGGACGGAATATTACTCATAAACAAATACATTTTGGGAAAATCTATTTATGGCGTGTTATACATGACATTTGAGAGCACATTTCTAAAATATTGGCAATTATACAGGGTGACCCAATTTTGATCTACATATCAAAGTCGTGATTTTTTAAATGGAATGTCTCAAATTTTAGTGCACATTTGGATAAACCAATTCAAAAGAAGAAAATTGATATGACATACGATGGGGTTTTGGTGATTAGCTACTGAGATATAAGGTGTTTCGGTCTGGAAAAACCCCCCACTTCGCCAACCTCTCAATCGGCCATTTTAAAATTTGCAGTGCTGAGTTTTATATCAAAAAAAACTTACACACCTCAGCTTTTATCCTATTTGTTTCTTTTTTGAATTGTAATGTTTGGCTCATACAGGGTGGACAAAAACGCGAATTGTACTTTTTCTCAAAAATTTCAAATGCATCACACTGTATATGTGTGCTGGTTTGGATTCAATTTCTTATAAGCTTATTTTTGGTATAAGGTTTGATTCAGATGAAATCACTAGATTTTGAGTTATTCAGCTTTTAATAGAACAACACACCAAAATTAAGGGAAAAATCACATCATCCATGGAAACAAAAGACAAACAGTGTGCTAGTTCCATATTGCCACTAAGAGTACAGATTTGACGTAACAATTAATAACAATCAGAACAGTATAAATCAGCTTCAAGCGTAATTGAGAAAAACTATAACGACAACATTAACAAACAACCATCACTATTCAAGACCTAATCTAAAAAAACTGCTCGAAAATACCTCCACCATGTTGAATACACAACCGTAGTCTTTGGATAAATGACCGTTGCACACCCCTCAGAATGTGTTCCCTTATGTTCAGAAAAGCATCCTTAATCCTTTCCTTCATATTTTCCGGGTTAGATGGTGGATATCTATAAATCTCTTGCTTAACGTAGCCCCATAGAAAGAAGTCCATCGGTGTCATATCTGGTGATCTAGGAGGCCAAGATATAGCCCAATCACGACTGATCCAACGCTGGTGCTCCAGGTGTCCAAATAGTTATGCATACGATTATGATAATGCGCAGGTGCGCCGTCATGTTGGAGGTACATATGCATCCGAGTTTGCAGGTTGACATCCTCCAAAAGCAAAGGCAAGTGCTCGATCAAAAAAATCAAGTATTCTGTACCTGGCACCGTTAATGTAACCCATATTGGAAGCAGCAGCATCACAACAGAGAATCTGAAATTTATCGTCAAGACTCCAGGCAATATTAGCATCCCAAGCGTTAAAATAATCGGTAGACGTTCTTCTTTAAACTTGCGTGCATTTAAAGGTGACAACAATTTGCCATCCCAGTGGACAGTTACAGCGTCCTTTGTTTCCAAAGGCACAAAATTAAAGCCGATTAATTGTGTGCCAAAACGTTTAGGACATCTGTTAGTACATACCTTAAAGGATACAAACTGCGGTATGTTCCGTCAAAAAACTGATCATCGCACTAAAAAAGCTTTGATGCGTTTCCGAATATTTGAATCCTCCAGAAAAACTGAGCCGACACGTTGCTTTTTTTTCTTTTCAGCAAATGCAGTTGTCAAGGTGCTGGACCTAGACGTACCAGAATCCGTAGAAATTGGCAGTACAGATGAAATCGTGATGGTGTGCAATTTCGTGGCGAGCAAAGACGAAGCAGCTGAAATGAAATGGTTCTACAATGGCAACATTGAACAAATATATCAGGTAAACGAATAAGAGAATATTTCGTAATGCGAGGGTGGACTGCAAAGTTTCCGCCCTAACAAAGGTGCAAGACATTTTTTCTGATTTTTTATTTTTCAACATAGTCGCCTTGTAACTCTACACACATTTCCCAGCGATGGTCCAAATAGTACTCGTCGTTTTTCTCTGCAAAATGATTGTTCACTAAGGTGATTGCCTCTTGATTCAACAAAAATCTCTGTCCTCCAAGTACTATTTTTACATGAGGGAACAAAAAGAAGTCGCTCGGGGCTAGATCTGGTGAGTAAGGCGGATGGTCGAGCAGTTTAAACCATAATTTGTGGATGAGCTTCTCTCTGAACTTTTTTTCCAAAGGAATGCATAGAAGCCGAGCCCAACACGAATTTGCTGCCAAAAATGGTGGTTGCTATCTGAATTTACAAAATGGACCTCCAAATTACTTTTGTCATCGACAAATTGCGTTTCTGGTACCCTGAAACCTTTCTTAGAGCCTTTTTCCCAAAAAAATGTGCGGTAGCCAAGTTTTCGGAGTGTTCGGGTATTTAATACAGGGTGGCCAAACGAAAAGGTCGCACCCCCATTTGTGACTCTGCTGGTATATTTTGGGGAAAACGCTCAATTTTGATTTCTAGGAGGATGTCCTTTCATCCTTTTTATGCTAAACACTTCATGGAAAATGTAAAAATTAAAAAAAGTGGAGGTTTCCATTTAAAAATCTCAAGTTTAACGCTATATCTTGGATCATTGTACGGCTATGGATGAAAAGACGTCCCCCTAGAAATCAAAATGGACGTGTCCGATCGTTCTTCCCAAAATATACCAGAAGTCACAAATCGTTGAACCACCCTGTTTACAGATATCTGATAGCATCAACCAATGATTTTCGCCCTAAGTGTCAGACTCTCAAGCAATTCTTTATGCGTTTCTTTCTTAAATATTTGTTTCTTGTTCCAGTGGATACCAGACTCAGATAAACCTCCTGGAGCAATCGGACGGTTTAAAGAAAGGCTAGATGTGGAGCATTCTTCGCCAGATCCTCGTGCAAAGTACAACACTTTAAAGATCAAGGATGTATCGTATGATCTTAGCGGCAACTATACTTGTAAAATAAGTGGAATCAAGAGTGAAGATTCGCAGACTAAGCAACTGGTTGTTTATTGTAAGTATGGTTATATCCGTGCTCTTATCAACTGTACAATGTTATTTTATTGTTAGAAAAATAATCATCAGCATATTGAGTTACCAAGTGTCTAATCATCAACGTTCTTTTATTTTTTTTAATCAATCGTGTAAGTCACATTTCAAAAGGACCGTAAACGACATCTTTTGTAATGATAATGTTTAAATTTTGGTAAAATTTCAAACAGGTGTTTCTGATAATGCATCAAATTAACGAGAATCGTGAAAAATTATGATTTTTTTAAAGACAGTGGACCTCCGGTAATCCGACAAACATTATGCAGGGCAGTGTCGGACTATCGAATTTGTCGTATTATAGAGCACTGCCTAAGAATTTTTTACAAAAGAGTACCTTGTAATCCGACAAATTACATATCCAATGGTAAGATTATATATGTTGTGTATATGTACAGGTACGTACTTTGACGTACAAATCATACATAGTTTATGTATGTCGAATTTAGTAAATTAAATAACAATAGAGAGCTTACGTTTTATTATAAATTAAGCATAAATGCACATACATATGTACAAAAATAACCAATAATTATTAATCAAAATCATTAATGTATTTATCATATTATGAAGTTTGGAAATATACTAAGTGATAAATCCGAACACCCAGTTTAAATGGTTTTATTTTAATAAAATTTTGTATAAGTGCTTAATGAAGCATAATAAGTAAATGATAAAAATTTCAAAATGATGGCACTGCTTTAAAGCCCTTTTACCTTTAATAATGTGTGGATGCACCCTGATGTGCTACGCATTCTCCAACGCGCCTAGGCATGCTTCTGATCAGGTGGTCAATGTCCTCCTGTGGTATCTCATTCCAGGCAACCACCAACTGCTCTCGAAGTGCTTCTAGAGTCTGAGGAGGACGTTGCAAATTGAGCAATCTCCTACCCATCATATCCCACACGTGCTCAATTGGGGATAAGTCGGGAGATCTTGGTGGCCATGGTAACAATGTGACATCATTATGTTGAAAGAAGTCTATTGTGACTCTTGCAACATGTGGTCGGGCATTATCTTGTTGGAAAGTTGGATCTGCCAGGGTGTCAAGATAGGGTAAAAGATGGGGTTCTACAACTTCGTGGATATAACGCTGCGCGTTCATGTTACCTCTGATGAAGATTAAAGGTGACCTGGAACCATAAGCTATAGCACCCCAAACCATAACTCCAACAGTGTGATGAACATGTCTTTCAACAAAAAACTGTGGATTCCTCCTTTCACCACTTCGCCTTCTAACCCTTACACCGACGTAATCGCCTTGAGTGGTGCAGACAACGGTCACTCTGGGGTCAGGAATGGAACAGTATTGTCTTTAGTGACGAGTCTCGATTTTGTTTAGGCATGCACGATGGTCGTGCCAGGGTTAGAAGGCGACGTGCTGAAAGGAGGAATCCACAGTTTTTTGTTGGAAGACATGTTCACCACACTGTTGGAGTTATGGTTTGGGGTGCTATAGCTTATGGTTCCAGGGCACCTTTAATCTTCATCAGAGGTAACACGAACGCGCAGCGTTATATCCACGAATTTCTAGAACCCCATCTTTTACCCTATCTTGACACCCTGGCAGATCCAACTTTCCAACAAGATAATGCCCGACCACATGTTGCAAGTCACAATAGACTTCTTTCAACATAATATGTCACATTGTTACCATGGCCACTAAGATCTCCCGACTTATCCCCAATTGAGCACGTGTGGGATATGATGGGTAGGAGATTGCTCAATTTGCAACGTCCTCCTCAGACTCTAGAAGCACTTCGAGAGGAGTTGGTGGTTGCCTGGAATGAGATACCACAGGAGGACATTGACCACCTGATCAGAAGCATGCCTAGGCGCGTTGGAGAATGCGTAGCACATCAGGGTGCATCCACACATTATTAAAGGTCAAAGAGCTTTAAAGCAGTGCAATCATTTTGAAATGTTTATCATTTACTTATTATGCTTCATTAAGTACTTATACAAAATTTTATTAAAATAAAACCATTTAAACTGGGTGTTCGGATTTATATGTCACTTAGTATATGTATGAAATATTCAAAGACATGTCGGATTACAGGGGGCGCCGGATTAGACAGGGGCCGGATTATCGGGGGTCCACTGTATAACTCACGGTAAGGGACCATTCTTTGATGAATCTTTGGTGCTCTTTTTTATCTCTTAGAAATATTACCGCTTCTCCGACGCCCGAAAAATTGTTTACGCAAAACCCATCTAATGTCAAACTGGATTTGTTATTCTTCACATCGTATTCAGTCGATTTGCAATTCAAATTAACCCAACCGCAACCGATATTCATGTATTTCTTGCGTTATATTTTCACCATACCTTGCTTACCACCCGGTAAAAGTCATTCGTTTTTAATCGGCCTTTATTTCCTGCCGTTTTGTGTGCGATCAGCCAAGGGTGACGGCTCGCACGCGCCAAAGAAGATGATACAAGCGAAGGGAAACATGATTCAGTTGAGCGCTATTGTTTTTGCTATTTTGAGATGAATAATTAGCAATTATTCCGATTCGACGCATCAGTATTCAAGTGTGAAGGCATCATTGAAACTTGCATCTGCATAATAACTATTGCAATAAGTCGGGACTGAGGTATAAAGCGCAAAATACTGACTGAAGATCGTACAAGGGAAGGGAAACATGATTTACTTGATCGCTATTTTACTTTAGTGTATATTCAGATAAGAGATAGACCGGACATAAACAAGACCACGTGATCATGGAACGCTGTAACATTCGGCAGGGACGTATTAAGAGTCACGCAGTACATATTTTAGATAGTAGATGCTGCTTTGCGTAACTTTGTAGTAAATTAGCACAATTCGATGTGTATACGATTGGTGATGGATATAGGATCATGTGGGGGTGGGGTAAGAAATATATAATGATGTAAATATACATAAGGGTTTCAAAATTTCCGCTTCGATTTCCAGCTTCGGATGCCGCCTGATGTTTGGTGAAATACAGTCGAATATAATCTCAAAATGGCGTTTAAATTAGCCTAAATTAAAAATAATCGTATATCTCTTAAAATTGCTTTTAGAATATTGATTAGTATATTTTTTGATTTCTAGGTAAATATGTAACCAAATTAAAACGTTCAAAACGTAAAAAAATGTGCATGGTTGAACATTGTCAGAAAGTAGATTCTTGAATAGGTTTTGCCAAAATGGGTTCAAAAATGTCAATAATTAATTAAAAAATACAGTAGCTTTATAATTACTTATAACTTACCGAATTTGATGAACGACATCTTTTATTGGAAAGATGAGCTTGATGAGCTTTCATCATCGCTACTGCCTGAAGCACCAACGTCAATAATGAATGGATCGACTTGTTCCTCTAAAATATTGTCCAGTTTCCACATTCTCTTTTCAGCTTTGTCTTTCACGTGCTTAATACAGTTTTCCCATTTTTGCGCTGTTATTAATTCTAGTGCTTTTTTGAAAAGTCCTTTGAGGTCACAAAATTTAAAAGTTGTATTGTGCTTAGCTATATAATTTTTAACCTCTGCCCATATGAGCTCAATGGGATTGAGCTCGCAATGGTATGGAGGTAAACGGAGCACAGTTTTATTTTGACTTGCTGCCATTTCGTCAATGGCGTATTTTTGATATTCCGCCTTGTGGTCCTTGACAATTCTTAATAATTGTACTTTCAGCATTGCTTCTTCAAAGTTGATATTTTTCGAGCGGAGCCAATTTTGAACATCAACTTTCCTTGAAGCCGTTGTTGGGACCTTCTCCATTCTTCGAGAATGATAAGGCGCATTATCCAACACAATTACTGCGTTTTCCTCTAAGTTCGGTAAAATTTTTGAAAACCACTGTTCAAACGATTCGCCATTCATTTCCTCGTGGTAATCTCCAGTTTTCTTAGACTCAAAGCACCACAGACCGTCAACAACAAATCCATCCTCACTGCCAATATGGCACATAATGAGCCTTTTCCCTTTACCTGGAAATCGAAGTACTAACTGGTGTAGATTTATTTCAATAAGCGAACCTTTTTCAAATGTTTTCATCACATTCAGCGAAAAAACATTGAGACATGAGTATCAGATTGCTATAATTGGGATTATTTAGTCATATTGAAAGAAAGAATATTGAACGTCGTATGATTACTCAGCGCTTCACAATTTAATTTAAAGTTATAAACCTTTAAAAAATGAATGATCAGGAACCTGAAATACGCCCAAATATTAATATTAACAAATTATAACTTTATAAAGCTTAAAGTATGAATTAAAATGATTAGAAATATTAGGAACGGTACACAATATAAAACTTAGTAACTTTTTTTAAGTTTATAATATTCGACATATTTTAAGATTATATTAAAAAATTATTGAAATATCGAAAACACATAAAAACATGGCTTAAAAAAGTTCTAACAAATGAAAATGACAATAAAACATCCACGCATTTTATCGAAAGTTATAAAAGTTTTGTTACTTGTAATATGTTTTATCTGCCCCCTGGAATTAATGTTTAGAACCTTGTTCCCAAGGTTTGAAAAACATCCGATTGTTGTCTATTACTCGTATTTACCTGCTGGATTTTTTAATCCGGTGGACAGTCCATCTAGAAAGGCCCTCCTGGATGAAGTTACAGAATCATCAACCCATACTTTACTTGTAGTGTGTCCTGCGTGTACCCACGTTTCATCAAGGTAATAAATCTTCCTGTTTTGATTTCTATATTTCCCAATTTTTGTTAAATAATCCCTCCTCCATAGCACAATTTCTTCTGTATCCAGTAGTAAACTATTACGACCCCGTTTTTTCCATTTGAAATTTAAATGCTTCAGTAACGCATGGAAAGTTGATCGTTTGAAATTTGGCAATGTTGTATCTCCATTTACCTCCTGCAGTACTTTATCTATAGTAGGTATTTCATTCCTAAAGAAGAATTCATGCACTTTCCTCCTAATCGCATGCTTATCAGCTTCATCAAATGAT